GCCTGGACATGAATGATCCCTTGCTATTGTCTCAAATTTCATAGAAAATACCCCCTGCCCATCTGACCTACCTAAATAATACTGCACTTCATAGCCATTTCTGCATCTGCAGAAACAGATTCTACTGATTCACAAGCACCTTACAAATGCATCTTACCTTGGTCTGTCTTGCAGCAGGAACCACCTGGGTGTCATTGGGACACCCAGATTCTTCATTCAGCATGTTAATAATTGTATTTAAGCAAAGAAACTGGTCAAAATACAGGAACAGCTACCTAGGGAAAATCTTTGGGAAAGTCTAAAATGTCCACTTGGAAAGCCCCAAATATTTGGTCAAATATTACTCCAAGTCAAAGACTTAGCTGTGAAGGCATGTAGTAGTTCAGTCAATGAGTAAGTTTCAAATCATTTTAGTATCCCAGACCCATGCATTACCTCCCTTGCACAGGTGACTAACCAAGGAATTCCAGTACTCCCCAGGCTGTTAAAAGACTGAAGTGCAGGCGTGCACTCTGGTTGAAACCCTGCTACCTGGCTACAACTATAAGAGAGCAAACTTAACTTTTTTTATTTATCCTGTAGCCCTCGCAACAAAACAATCACCAACAACACCAGACAGCTACAGTTAAAACCATTGCATGGATGTCCTGAGAAATCCATGCTTACCAGAGAATTCATCCCTTCCACTAGAGACCACCACAGGGCTTGACCACAAAGTCAGCATCTCATTTGCAACACCATTTTACAGAGGAAGAAGCAGGACCCTTACAAAGTAGAAAATTTGTTCTCACAGCTTGATGGTAAAATTGCTGCATGAGGTTCCTCAGAGCTCAACTCTCCTAAACATAAATTTGCAATAAACAGAGCACAGGGCTCTGAAGAAAAAAGTCAGCATCCTGCCCTAGGAAGTGAATGGCAATGTGTTCACATTGCAAAATTTTGCTTAAAATAAAGACAACATTTCTCAGAAGTGCCATAGATATGAATATCATCTCAGCCAGCACTGGATTGTGTGAACTGAGAAAAATATGCCTTACATTTATGAATGATTGCTATTTAAAGGAAAGGCAACATATGGCAAATCTTATTTCAGGATTAGAGTGTTAAGACAGGCTACAGTAGCACCTACAGTGGCTGACTGCTAACATGACTAAGGACAACCATATGACAAAGCACGAGAACTGTGTCAGTCCTCATTGCTTTTTCCAGTGCTTCATATAAATGTACTGGAAAGGTCAAAAAGAGGCTATATTTGGATCTCACTTATCCTGCTATTCCACTTTCAGCTCCATGAACCAGACTGAAGGAAACTTGTGAAACATTAGACATTTAAAACATGGGATAAACATGGTAAGGCACTCAGCCACTTAGATAATGTAAAAGTAGTTCTACCAGAGTCAATAGCTCCCTGAATCAGCTCCTGAGAGGCAAGGACACGCATCTCAGCTGCACCTGCATAAAATGAAGTGATTGCTGCTCCACTGATGGTTAACTGTACACACACTGGAGTGATCCCAAAACCTTGAGAATCCTTTAAGCCTTTGGAAATCAGGTGGTTTTTTTATCCACTGCTGCCAAGATATCACTCTTCTAGTGCAAAAGAAGCTTAAATTCTTAATGTTTGCTCCAGGCAATGCTTTGTAACACCAAGGGTCAAGCAAAAGAAGGGTCAAGAAAAGAGACTGCACCAAAAGGAATACATAACCTGAGATTTGCTGGCATCAGATTGGAAAAAAATTAATCTGTTTTTCCATAAATTAGGAGAAAAATTATTTACTATATTCTTCGCACACAAATCATAATTTCCATTTTTCTTCAGCTCTAACTACTGCATGAAATAGAAAATAAACATCCCCAAGCTGTTAGCATAAAAATTGAGTTGTTCTGTCTAGAGACCAAAGCATCTGGTTACTGTACCAGAGGGAACCTGAAAAACCTTTCCTTCATCTGGCAGCAGCAGATTTATAACCTGTGTAAGGCACTGGGTCTAGATTATTTCAGATTCCTTTCCTTCTCTACAAGCAACAATACACAACAAGAGGACTTTCCAGACAGTGATTTATTTGCCAAACACTTGAACTTTATTAACAACTTTCAGTAACAACTCAGCAATCTGCAGCCCACCATCAATCTGGCACCATTTTCCTGAAGTCTCATGATTCTTAGTCTGCCATCTTTGATCCTCACCTTGGATTTGTCCTGCTGGCCATTAGCAGAGCTGCTGGTATTCCCAACAAAAAACATTATTTAATCTGACTGCACACAGCAACTGAAGTTCCTGCTCGAAGCAGAGATTTGGGTATTTAAAAGAGGTAGTAAACAAGAGAGACTTTTACAGAGCAATGAAACTAAATTATCTTCTGGCTCCCCTGCCAGGGACTTGCAAAAAGACCTGCTCCCAACTTTGCTGTGCTGTAGGATTTGGATCTTTTTGTACTGAAATGAATCTGAGGGACTGATCATTAAAAGCACTACAATTGGCCACAATTCACTCAGTCTAGTTGGTATCATGTCCGGGCAGAAATGCATTTCAGGCTGAAAAATGATTCAGTTTCCCTTACGATGACAGTTGTTGCTTTTTCTAGTCCATTAATTTCTTTCCAGCACTCACTTTTGCAGTAACAATCCCCAAGATTTTCCTTCCACCATATCCCACACTGTGGTGAAGAGTGGGCCATGATCTTTTAGGCATATAATGAAACAGTAAAAGACTTTTCTGCAGTTTGTTTTTGTGAGTCCATTTGCTTCTGATTACAAAGCTGTGGAAGTCATCACTTTAATCCAAATAATTTTCCAGATACTTATGCCTAAATGATGCTCTCTAAAATAAATTGCCATATTTTATGTAAACAGTACAAGCTTTATGTGCTGCTCTAAAAGTTCATCTGTTTAATCTGGCCCTGTCAGGGCACAGGCATTTTGAATCAAGGTATGAACTATATTCTCTTGCTGTTTTCAACATTGTGAACAAAAGGCACCTTGTGTTTTCCTGAAAAAGTACTGCCTTATTGCCAACACTGTAAGAAACCCTTGTATTTTTTCACATAGACAGAGGCTAAAATTACCAACTAAGCATTCACTCACATTTTGCTCCCCGTAAAAAGACTGACTGTAAAAGCAGCATGCCCTTCTTGCAGTTTCTAGTACTTACACCAGCAGGACTGTCATGAATTGTAATGGATGGCTAATCATACCTTGTGCATGTTGTACAGCACTCTTTTTGATAATTCCAGGCATATTTATCTCAGCTTGCAATTTACTCATGTCAGACTGTATCCCAGCAGCCTCTTCAAAATGTTATTTTGCTTCCAGAGAACTGGCAATTTTCCTCCTTCAGTTTTTATTCAAACTGCACTGAGTTACCTGAAGCCTCTGCACAGAGTTATCATTATGTCCTTTTTTGCGCCATTCCTGCCTGTAACCCCTCTCCCACCCCTTCTTCTGCCACCATGGGCAGTACAGCACTCCCATGTGGGAGTGTGTACTGGTGTCCTACTTCATGCCCCAGGGATCTGCACAATACTGAACGTGCAGACCATCTGATACCTGGGGATAATCTTTCAAAGGCAACCTTGCCAAAAGCACCTTAGATGCAACTCATTATCAAAATTTATCTGCCAGGAAGGTGTGAGGCACTCACCTTTCAAAACTAATAGGCAAGTAGCTTTTTTTTAATATTACTTTGTCTTCTTGAGAGACCAGATAATGTCCTTTCTCTTTTTACGTTTTTGTTTGGGTTTTTTTTTTAATGGACGAGTTTAAGCCCACAATCTGCCTCTTTTTCACCATCTGGCGAATAAGTCAGATAGCCCAATTAGTTGGATACAGAGAAAGACTAGAAACAGAGACTAATCCAAATTTCATCTAAATTTTGTTGGAAAGGGGAAAAAATTGTTACACAGACCCTGTTTTTTCACTTAACTTTGTGAGGAAAATGTCACTAATTATGTTTTGTCTGGCAGAAGTGTATCCCAAATAAAACAGCAGTTCAGATGGAGAAGTCTGATCTAAAGACTCTGCTTGATTATTCAGGTTTTGTGGTTTGAATTCATTTCATGTGTCTTGTCTATAAGACTTTCTACACAGCTCTTTCTGCCTTCAGCCAAATTGTTATGGAAGGTAAAAGCCACAGCTGTCAAGTGAGTATAATTTAACCACTTCAAGCTAGCAAAGAAGATGGCAAAGAAAGACTCAGTGAAATGGAAAAGCTTTCAAGCATGACCCAAGCCACCACCTGCTCTGAGGGAGCATCCAGCACACAGAAAATATTTGTCTGACCTGATCCTTAATTTTTTTTGGCATCCACCAAACACTCCCCATGTAGCCCAAGTGTTTCATCAGGCTAGCAGGTAGAAAGTTTTCTTTCCTGCTACCAGAACTAAATGGAAGCTTATTAGTTTCCACTGTATAAACACAGGTTAATTTCTCCCTCTCATAAGCAGTAAGAAAGATTGAGTATTGCATCTTGTTATATAGTCTATATAAATGGCTAGAAATAGCTAAGGAGCTATTAGGTAACAAACCCCATTCTCATCTTTCCTATGAGGCACAGTTTCTTAATGCCTTACTATTTTTCCTAGTTTCTTCTCAGCTCCCACATTAGAACAAAACATTTTTAAATTATTTCATGAAGATTTTTATCTGCCTCAAGTTATCATTAGTCCTTGCAGTAAAGCCCTGGAAAATGTTTACAGTAAGAGGAGCCTGGGTTCAGGCCTCAGAAGTCCCTCTTTAAAGGGCATCTTGCCCAAGGCATCCATAATAAGTGATGTTTCCCTACTCAATTGCCTCCATCACGAGTGATGTTTTCCAGTGAGAAGCATGTTAATTCATGGATTCCCAACAGAAGCATATTTTGAATCCTCAACAATAACTGCCACATCCAAAACACAACAGTTGTGCCATTTGTCCTCCCTTTATCTTCTTCCCTTGTGGATGCAACTGTCCCAGAACAGAGGTCCTTTTAAGCTCATCCCTTTCCCTCCCCCATCCCCACAGCTTACCTTAGCTGCTAATGGTCAGTAGAACCCAGAGCAATGTCCATGAAGGATCCTTTCCCATATGGAATAAAAGCAGGAGAGCTGGAGGGAAAAGGAGACAGCAGGAAGTTTCCAGGATACTAAGGTAGTGCGCGCCATCATCATCTTCTCTTTATCACAACCCAGAATTACAGCACTCTATGCTGTAAGATTTGTTACCTTGCCCAGCTTGTGGTGCTTCCAGTGAGGTTAAGGCATAGGAAAGAGAGCAAATGAAGAAAGGGAGAGTTGCTTTAAAACCACACAGTTTGCAAATTCAGGAGTCCTACACAGGAGCCACTGAGTTGCCTTCCAGCCCATTTACTCCCTTTGCTCCCACTGATTTCAGCTTGTTAAATTATTCTTCACTAGGAAAATGATGGGAGAGGTCAGTGACTGATCAGAAACAAACCTGAGCCAAAAAAGCACATTGCCAGGCAGCAAACTCTCCTGCACTGTCTGTCAGATGGACAGTGAGGGCCTCTATCAGGCTGCACCCATTTCCTGTGATCACAATCTTTCTCTTTCTCACATTAGAAACTAACACCACTGACATGCCAGAACACCAAAGAGGTATCAGCCAAATTATTTTCATTTTGCATCCAGACACTCTCTACACAAAATGGAAATAAAATATCTATATTTCAAGGCAGTTAAAATGCCATCATGGCAGTCTGTATGTCTATCTATTCAAGTCCATCAGTCCTTACATGTTACTGTTGACCCAGGCAGGTACCTGACAGGTCACAGTCAGCCAGGCAGAGGAAGTTAGTCTTTCCTGAGGCAGAGAAGACATGCAGAACGTGTTTATATTTTATATTCTTGAGAGCATCATATCTTAATAGTGCAAGTGTGAAAGAGAGTTACTAATGTCCTCTCCTTCTCCTTTTATCCACACCTTATGGAAAAGCCCTGCAGGTTTAACAAAGAGGTAACTAATCACCTTGCACAGAAATGAAAGGTTTCTGAGGGTGTTATCCCTATCACAACATAAATACAAATAACTCCACTGAAGACAATGAAGTTCCACTGGGATAAAAGCATTAACCAAGGGTTAAGAATTTTATGCAGAATTCATTCCTTTTAAAAAAATCTTTGGAACCCTCCCATGGAAGAGATAAAATCCTCTGCTCAGTCAAAAGAGTGGTTACAAAATAACCTTTCAGAAAGGTTTCCCGTTGAATTTTGAGAACTTTCCATTAGTACAGAATAATATTGTCTCTGGAAAGTGCTTTGTTCCTGCAATGGTACAGCATCTATACAATGCCTCTTCATCTGAGCTATTAGAGCACACAAAGGTAGCTGGAGTGTGAATCCATTTTATAGAGGCTATGTACCACTTAGAGGAATGAAGGTAATAAATTCTGTAACTGACAGTATTTCTTCCCAATGCTACAACATTCTTATTTAACTTCACAATTTAACCTTAAAATCTGACCAAAAAGGACAAATGCTCATGCTGCTAATACAGAATTGTCTTTGGAATTGAGGCTGTCATGGCAAAAGCCAGGTAGGGAAATTCCTCAACTTTCAGGGCACAATTGCTTTAAAGCTTTTGTTTAAAACCCTGTGGGAGAAGGAGGATTCATTATGACAATGGATTTTAAGAGAAACATCACTTCAGCAGTGGTGTGTTTGACCTCAAGTATGATTTTTGCATTGCACAGTACAAAAGTAATACACTATTTCTAGAAATGAAGTAGCTCCAACTGGTGAAACAAAAGACATTGTAGACGAGAAGTATCTGAGGAACTGACTGTCTTTCATAACAAATGAAATGAAAATTCCACTCCATTTACTGTGCTCCCATGGGAGTAATGCACACAGCTAAGTTTCAACCAAATGGAAAATGCAATAGCAGCACTTAACTTCATTTTCTTGTATCTGTTCTCAATTTTGCATGGGATATACTTTAAACATCTGTAATAATTATACTGAAATTGTTTCTAAATTAAATGTCACAGAATATAGTTAAGAAAAAACAGCTTTCAGTACATGTATTACATATTGTTTTAAAACAATACATATCAATGATTAACTATCTGCAGGTACATTTAAAGAAAGGATAGTGAAGGAAACACAGTGGGATGATCCTTTTTTCCTCCTTTTCTAAGAGTGTTGCACAAGTGTTGCACAAGATTGTCCCAGTAGAATCCCAGTAAAAATTCCCCCTGTTCCCAACCCCAGCATCTGAAATCACAAATCCTTTGAAGAAATTCTGTACTACTGGTAACATTGACATATCAGAAGACTTCCATGATTTTCTACTTGACACTCTGAACACAGGGAAGTATAATTCACTTGTTTGAAATTATGCTGTAAAAATGGTTTATTTTTTAATTAAATTGAAGTACATTTTAAAATATATGTACCAAGTGTGACTCTGTGTGAATATGTATAAATGTGCACATGCTGGCTTACTTGTGCAATACGAGCACCCTTTAGGGACAGGACAATTACAAACCCACCAATTCCTCCTCCTTTTCTTTATTGAGCAGACATTCTGGGAGATTACTTTCTTCTCCTCCTCTGTCTTCCAGAGCAATGTGAAGAGATATAGTCAAAGCTACAGCTGAGACTTCATTTTATCCAAATGGATGTGTCAAGTGAAATTAAGACCACTTAGACTTACCAAACTTCCACCACATTCCACATCTTTTTTTTTTCTTTTTACATAACTTATGCTAACCTGACTATTTTTGCTTCTAAGGTAGGCTCTGTGAAAGTCATACAGCTGTTCATATTTAAGATGGCTCTTGTAACAGAGCACAGCGCTCTGAAGATGTAATTAATGGCCATATGGAATGGGATGACTCACCATCTCTTAATAAGATACAAGTGCTACAGGCATGAGCAAAATAGGCAAATCACACAAAGAGGTTATCAATATGTCCTTCTCACAACCCATGTAGGAATGCGTTTTGTGTCTTACAAACTATAGAAAATCTTTTTCCTATAGTTTATGGATACTTTGGTGAGTGTTAATGACATTATTTTGTGCCCCCTTCTAGCTCTGAAGTGCATTTGCTACAGGTACATCCATGGCACTCACAGCTCAGGAACGGTTAACCTGGGCAGTCTAACTGAGAATCAGGACATCCATAAATAAAGGGAGTGTAAGCCAAGAAAATTAATGGTTTGTTTGAGGTTTTTTTAAGCAGAACTAAAACCAAAGCAGTATAAATAAGCTGAATTGTTACATTACACAAATATGACCGTTGTCGTTCCATTCACCGGTAAAAGACTGCTGTACCAAATTATTTCAGGAGCAAACCCCAAATTCCCTGGCTGCCAAACACTGGCCTGCAAACCTAACACTAGTGACCACTGTCTTGTATTTGCAGGGTTCCCAGAGGAAGGAAGGAATGAAGGAATCTGACTCTATGTTCTTAGAAGGCTAATTTATTATTTTATGATACTATATTATATTAAAGAATACCATGCTAAACTATACTGAAGAATACAGAAAGGATACTTACAGAAGGCTAGAAAAATAATGAAAACTTGTGATTCCTTCCAGACTCCTGACACAGCTTGACTGTCGTTGGTCATTAGGTCAAAACAATTCACATGAAACCAATGAAACAACCACCTGTTGGATAAACAATCTCCAAACACATTCCAAAGCAGCAAAACACAGAAGCAAATGAGATGATATTATTTTCCTTTTTCTCCGAGGCTTCTCAGTTTCCCAGGAGAAAATTCCTGGGCAAAGAGATTTTTCAGAAAATATGACAGTGACAACCACTGTCCTAGTGAGAGGATTTCCCTCTGGCATCGTTAAAACCCTTGAGTTCTTTCAGTAGTCATCTTTTTCTATCTTTCTCACTTTGATCCTTTCAATATATCCTAACATAGCATTGTTTAACAGCCCTCATACAGGTCAAAAAAACCCCTAAGAATACTTTTTTTTCTTGTTTATTGTCTTTTTTTTTTACACAGTCATCACAGAATAAATTAATCCTCCATGAACACTTGCTATGAAGCACCACTATATCACGTTCACTTGGACTTCACCTTTTTCCTTCACAGAAGCAAATGAACAGAGAATACATTTATACACTTGAATAGAAAAAACTAAACAGTTCAAGTATTCTGTTCAATCATCCCTATAAAAAAAGAAAAGCAGTCAAAAAATAAAGTTCTTCACATCAGGCATCTCACTTTTTGTTTTTAGAAGTACTCAAGAGAAAAATCAGAATCAAAAAATTCATGTCAGATCAAAAGTGGTGATGGACCTGAAACAAATTGCAATGCACTTGAAATGTTCATTTCTGGAATGTTTTTTTCTCTTTTTCAGAACTGCCAACAAACTGAACAACAATCTGTTCCTCACAATCTATTGTGCTCTTAAATTCTGCTACAGTAGCACATTAAATTGCAAGTGTCTTAATCAATCAAAAGTGACTTCTCAAGGAGTTTTATTCCTTGATAATAAGCTTACCTCTACTGAGAGGTGGCTAAAGTAATGTTACATCTTTTATATTTGATTTGTTTCTCTTTGACTCTGTAGTTTAGTTTATTTAACATAGGGCTAACTCCAGCTTATTCTTTTTACATAAAATGACATCAGGAGGAATAACATATTTAATCAGGAGAAAATACTGAATATTTACCACAAAACCAAACAAATTTTCCTGCAGTAGGATGATTCTCTTTTTTATTCATCCTACATCACCACCATGTTTGAATGAATCAGCTTTTTCTGGTATCTCCTAGTCACAGGTCTGCAGCTAAGTAGCCTAAAAGACCTTTGTCTTTCCACTCTCAACAAAAATCTAAAATAAAAAAGTCTTCCCAGAAACTGTTTAAAAATATTAAGCCTACAAAAAAAGACATTTTTTCTGAGAACTTGTCATAGATCCCCGTTCCTTGAACTGATATGACCCATATACTTGTTAGGTTTTATGAAAACTTCTGACCCTTGAGGATAAATGCCATCCTCTGCACATGTAGATGAGCTCAGTACTGTTGGAAGGTTTTTCAATGGCAGACCACTGAAAACTCTCGTATCAAAGTGTCCTTTTCTAATGAAGTGATTTCTTTGTGGCTGCTTGTAACTCTGTTTTGCTCTCTGCTCTCTCTGCATGCAGGAGTTCCCTCAAGGTGACCTTCCCACATCCAGTGCCCACGGGAACAGGTCTCCAGCCACGAGCAGCACCACAGAACTTGCACAATTGCAAGCATCAGGAGGGAAG